CAGCCTCCCTAGTAGCTGCGACTAGAGGCATCTGCCACAATGCCCGGCTAGTATTTTTGGCTGGGTTCAAACCTACCAGCCCCGGAGAATGTGGCCAGTGTCCTAACCACTGAGCTATGGGCACCCAGCCAATACCACGTGCTTTAATGAAGAATTCACTCATGTCCAGGGAGGAAGGCTGAATGTGCTCTGTCTGCATGTGAGGGATGAGGGAGGAGCACTGGCCCTGGGGAGGCGCCTGGGCCACTTCTCATCTCCAACACTCACCCACCATGGAACTTTGGGCAACTTATTTACACTTCCCGAATCCCAAGTTTCTCCTCTGTAGACGGGGATAATCGTAGTATCTATACCTCGAGAGTTTTGAGAATTAAATGAGCTTATGCGTTTAAGAGAGCTTAGCACAGAGCTTGGGCGCATCACACCCAGAACATGCTTTTCCTGTTACTGTTACTGAAAGTGACCTTGAGACACATTCTTTAAAGGGTGCCCTTGCCCTAATGACATACAAAGACCGAACCATCTATTAGCAGCACATTAAAGTTAGCTTGCAGAATAATTTATTGGGGTCAGCATTTCTGCTTTTTAATCCTTCATTTATTCAAGCATGTGAAAAAATTTCTCCTGTCTCAAAGTCTCACTGGACGAAAGGACATAAAAGTCACTTGAAGAAGACAGTCAATTCTCTTTAACAAAGAAAGGGAAAAAATCAGTTTACGTAAACCAAGGGGAAAAGAAAACAACTTAGGAAGGAAAAAAAAACTTAGCAAGAAAGAAGAGAAAGCTCTAATGACCAGCAAGTCGCTGCAAGTTTCACATGGACTACTGTCTCGAAAGGAATTTACTTTATTAACCCACGAGAAACTGAATTAAAACACAGGATTTGCCCTTTTCAAATGTTACTTCTCGGGCAGCACCTGTGGCTCAAAGGAGTAGGGCGCTGGCCCCATATACCGGAGGTGGTGGGTTCAACCCTCGCACATCCTTCGTGGGGCTTTGTGGGTGCGGCATGTGGAAAAGGCCCCAGCATGAAGAATTCATTCACCCTTCTTGGTGGGTTAAAGGATCCACAGGGTAGGGAGCGGGTTCTGTGCTACTTCTGTAATCCTACCTAGTCACTGAAAAGGCGACAGCCTATTTGTACAAAGGAACACATCCATTTATAATCTAAAACCTGGTAAGAACTGGTGTCAGCAGAAGACAGCAGGTCTCTCAAGATGCCAGTATCAATCACAGAGTATTTACTAAGCAGTTAGTTATTCCACAGCAGTAATTTTCAAAAGCCAGGTAAAATCATTTATATCAGGCTCAGCCAGCGCCTGTAGCTCAGAGGCTAGGGCACTGGCCACGTACACTGGAGTTGGAGGGTTCAAATCCAGCCCAGAACTGCCAAACAATGACAACTACAACCAAAAAATAGCCAGGCCTTGTGGCGGGTACCTGTAGTCCCAGCTACTTGGGAGGCTAAGACAAGAGAATCGCTTAAGCCCAAGAGTTTGAGGTTGCTGTGAGCTATGACACCGTGGCACTCTACTGAGGGTGACAAAGTGAGACTCTATCTCAAAAAAAAAAAAAAAAAAAAAATTAAAAAAAGAAATAATTTTCACTCCAAAGAAACAAAGGTACTTTGGATTTGGTTATTTCTTATAATCAGGTTGTATATGAATTTCCACATTTTGACACGTAAAATGGAGGTGCTCCAGTGGGTTTTATTAGAATTCTTTCTCATACTTATTTTAAAGTTTCGATAAAATGGCTATTTCAACTCCAGGTCTGGTTTTCCACTTAGTTCTCTGAAAGGATTTATTGAAAACCCCAAACTGGCTGGAACATTCCTTCTGCTCACCTTTCAGCAGAGCAGCTTTGTAGGAGTGGATATCCATTTGGTTTCAATTTTCTGATACACAAACACTTCATTGTACGATAAGTGGCAACACACTCGCAATGATCTGAAGGCACATTGTGTACACTCCTGGATTTTTCTGTTCTCCCTTTAACCCTGTTCCTCGTCCCCCAGAAACACCTCTCAGTTTACTGTGAACCTCAAAACAAGTTGGTTCCTATTAATTAAAAAAAAAAAAGGCATAACACAGCATAATCAAGTTAGTCATCTTAGCCCACTTGGGCTGCCATAACCAATACCAGATGAGACGGCTTGTACAGAAAATTATCTTCTCACAGTTTTAAAGGCTGAGAAGTTCAGGATCAAGGTCAGAGACAATTTGCTTCTTCATGAAGACCCTCTTTCTGGCTTGCAGACCTTTTCACAGTGTCTTATGTGGCAGAGAGAAAGCTCTGGTGTCTCTTCCTCTTCTCATAAGGAGAGGATCCATCATATTGGATTAGTGTCCCACACACATAACTTCATTTAACCTTTACGATCTCCTCACAGGCCCTTATCTCCAAATACAGTCATGTTGAAGGTCAGGGCTTTCCCATGTGAATTTAGGAGGACACATATTCACTCCATAAGCGTCTTCCAGCCATTCAAACACAAAATTCAAATCCATAATGTTTCTGGTTGCATTAAAATGTTTTTCCATTCATATATGGAAAACCACCGGGTAAAATATAATTTAGTTTTTAACTCAGACTGAAAAATAATTCTGAATGTGTAACTCAGTTATCAAGCTCAGTGACACAGGAGAATTAGAGCTCGAACGCTTTCCCTGTCTTTTAATTGAGACTAAAGAGATCTCTTCTGAGACATGACAGTATGTAACAAACAGTAGAAATACGGAAAAAAATGCTTCACTGGGGTGGCGCCTGTGACTCAAAGGAGTAGGGCACCAGCCCCATATGCTGGAGGTGGCGGGTTCAAACCCAGCCCCAGCCAAAAACTGCAAAAAAAAAAAAAAAAAAAAAAAAAATGCTTCACTGCTTAGTGGGACTGATTGCCTACATAAAACAATTCAGTCTTGGGTGGTGCCTGTGGCTCAAAGGAGTAGGGCACCGGCCCCATATGCTGGAAGTGGAGGGTTCAAACCTGGCCCTAGCCAAAAACTGCAACTAAAAAAAAAAAAGAAAGAAAGAAAAAGAATTCAGTCTTTTAAAACACACCCTGGGTATTGGCCTACTTTCTTAAAAGTATGTACACTTAGGTTTTCCAGAGATTCAAGCATCATGTGGAACCTAGATTCAGACCAGTCGTAGCCATTACTCAAAAAATCAGGTGAGCTCCAAACTGTCCCTAGAAAGATAAGGACTGCAAAAGCTCACAGGCCCTCAGTCTCAAAGATGTGATTTATTTTCCAGAAATAAAAGGCTGAAATCTAGAGAGAGTAAATGACTTTCTCAGGCAGCTCACTGGTGCCAGAGAGGTGCTAAAACACAGGGTTCCTGACCACAAGCCAGCGTGCCAACGGCCATGCTCCAGTGCCACTGCGCCACAGGTGCTGCTTGCGTTCAAGGTCACGGGGCGCCCCCATCCTCTGGCGAACACCGTGAGCCTTACGGGGCAGCAGCAGTAGGCAGCAGAGCTTTGATCTGCCTCACGCTTGGACTCCCCAACCGCAGCAGCAGCCGAAGGAAGAACCACTAGTTTTCCCAATGTCTTTTAGCTTCTCTTCTCTTTTTCTCCCAAATGATCAACGCTCCAAGCCAGGGGTCCTCAAACTTTTTAAACAGGGGGCCAGTTCACTGTCCCATAGACCGTTGGAGGGCTGGATTGCGGGCCCTGGGACGAGTCGGCTGGGGCAAAAACACCCAGTGGCTGGATAAATGTCCTAGGCGGGCCGCATGTGGCCGGTGGGCGGTAGTTTGAGGACGCCTGCTCCAAGCTGAAGAATTCTTAGTTCCCACTTAGCTCCCCTGGGATGGAAACGGAAATGTCGCCCATCCCATTTCTTCCACTCACACCTCTTCCCCGTCTGCTTCCCCAAACCACACGACTTTGACACTGGGCTTGAATCTAAATCAACAGCCCTTAAAACGTGTCTGTGTGTTACGGGCTCCGCACTGGAGCCTTCACGATAGGGTTGGAAACTAAAACCTAAAAAATACTAAATTGTAGGGTGGTAAAGAGATCTTCTCGGACTGGGTTGGTTTTGTTTCTATAAAACATTCTCACAGGTGTGGACTCATAACTAACCAGAGGCGTATTTTTTTTTCCCAGTCTACTCAAAAAGTAGTCACTATTTTTACAAGGGACCTTCTAAATCAATCCGACACGTCTCTAATTTGTTCAAGGTTACACCTGCAGAAATAAGGGGTGTTCCCTGCAGAGTCTTCTCAGTCAACCAGAATGGCCAGCAGGCTTTTCATCTTAGTCTTTTATTCAACTGGGCTGACTTTTCCATTTCCTGCTTTTATTTGTAACACAAAGTGATCTGTACCTCTGCCAAATTTAGTCTCATACTTAACAGCAATTCTGGAAACTCGCAAGATTCGTCAGCCTAACCTGACTTGACAACTTCCAAAATACAAGCCAACATCAATAAAAGTATAACTTTCCTATCTTCACATTCCTGTAAATCTACACCTGGCAGTAAAATTCAGAAAAAAATCTAATCTCTTCTCATGTGGTGAGGGCCCATTATGAATCTAATACTTTAGTGTTGGTAAGCACTCAACTATTTATACAAATTTAAAATAAAATGATATGAATAACTACTACCCAATTGTATATTTTTGCATGCATCCCTCTAAATAGCTTGTAAGTTGGTTTATGCACATCTTTCTCCCTAACTAAGCTTTCAACTGCTCAACAATAGAGAATTTATCTTTCTGGCGGCGCCTGTGGCTCAAAGGAGTAGGGCACTGACCCCAGATGCTAGAGGTGGCAGGTTCAAACCCAGCCCCAGCCAGAAACTGCAAAAAAAACAAACAAACAAAGAATGTATCCTTCTCTACCTTTTCTGGTCAGGATTGGTCCACTAACGTGTAAATGCTTAATGACAGAACGTATCAGCATTAGTCCTATAACCAAAGCTGTCTTTCTAATTTCACATCTAAGTAGTTCATAAACTTCTATCAGCACAGTTGAACAATTTTATTCTTACCAGAGCTGGTCACACGCCTGATCCTCTGGGGGGACAGAGCTCGATCGGCATTGAGATTCCTACTGTCACTATTCCGCCTCGAACAGGAAACAGAAGCCCCGGCTTTGGCTTTTGAATTAGGTATCTTCCTCAAACTGCAGGAGTCGGGCTTGGCGAGAGTCCTATCGGGGGTGGCAGAAGTTTTAGAGGCAGGACCCTGTAAAAACAACAGCTCAAATTTTAGTCCAGATCGAACTTTCTCCATACCTCTTCCTCACAGTGGTAGCTATGTGAAAGAAACAATTTCTTTTTTTTTTTTTTTTTAGACAGAGTCTCACTTTGTCACCCTCAGTAGAGCGCTGTGGTGTCATAGCTCACAGTGACCTCAAACTGTTGGGCCCAAGTGATTCTCTTGCCTCAGCCTCCCAAGTAGCTGGGAATAGGGGTGACTACCACAAAAACAGCCCACTTATTTATTTATTTATTTATTTTTAGAGACAAAGTCTCGCTCTAGCTCAGGCTGATCTCGAACCTGTGAGCTCAGGCAATCCACCTGCCTCAGCTTCCCAGAGTGTTAGGATTACAGGCAGGAGCCACTGCGCCCTGCTGAAAGAAACCATTTCTATCTCAGTGGGTATACCAGATAAATACAGTTGTCCCTCCATAGCATGGGGGACTGGTTCAAGGATTCCCACAATACCAAAATTCATGAATGGTCAAGTCCCTGATATCAAATGGGGTAGTACTTACACATAATGTACACACATCCTCTAAATCCCCAGCCCCGGCGGCAGACCAGTGCAGGTCCATGGCCAGGTAGGAACCTGCTGCACAGCAGGAGGTGAGAGGCAGGAGAGTGCGTGAAGCTTCATCTGTATTTACAGCGCTCCCCATCACTCTCCCCACTTTCTGGGCACCTCCTCCTGTCACATCAGCACAGCACTAGATTCTTTAGGACCACGAACCCTACTGTAAACGGCACATGCTCCTTATGATAATCTAACGACCCCTCCACCCCGGTCTATGGAAAACCTGTTTTCCATGAAAAAAAGTCCCTGGTGCCAAAAAGTTTGGGCACTGCTGCTGCAAATCATCTCCAGATTCCTTCTGAACACCAGCCTACAGATCACCTCATTCATGGGGCTTTGACGCGGGACTCTACAAATGGCGAATTCAAGTTTTATTTTTTGCAACTTTGTGGAATTTGTTTTTCTGACTATATACACATATTTTGGGACAGAGTCTCAAGCTATTGCCCTGGGTAGAGTACCGTGGCGTCATAGCTCACAGCAACCTCAAATTCCTGGGCTCAAGTAATCTTCTTGACTCAGTTTTCCTGTTTTTTATATACACATATTTTGGGACAGAGTCTCAAGCTATTGCCCTGGGTAGAGTACTGTGGCGTCATAGCTCACAGCAACCTCAAATTCCTGGGCTCAAGTAATCTTCTTGACTCAGTTTTCCTGTTTTTAGTAGAGATGGGGTCTTGCTCTTGCTCAGGCTGGTCTCTAACTCATGAACTCAAGCAATCCACCTGCCTCAGCCTCCCAGAGTGCTAGGATGACAGGTGTGAGCCACCACGGCTGGCCATTCCTGAAAATTTTCTTTTTTTTCTTTCTTTCTTTCTTTTTTTGTTTTACAAGTGATAGATTTTATTAACATTTTTTTTTTTTTTTGAGACAGTGTCTCAAGCTGTTCCCCTGGGCAGAGTGCCGTGGCATTACAGCTCACAGCAACCTCCAACTCCTGGGCTCAAGCGAGTCTCCTGCCTCCGCCTCCCAAGTAGCTGGGACCACAGGTGCCCGCCACAACGCCCGGCTATTTTTTGGTTGCAGCCGTTATTGTTGTTTGGCGGGTCCGGGCTGGGGATTCGAACCCGCCACCTTAGGTGTACGTGGCTGGCGCCTTAGCCGGTTGAGCTATAGGCGCCGAGCATTTATTAACATTTATTAACAAGGATGACGATAAACAGTTGGTTTGGTGACTTGGGAATCACTCTCAATTTTGTTCTCATAATCTAGTTGCTTCCACTAGCATTTACTTTTCCTTTTTTAAATTTCAGACTAATACGAGGGCACATACAATGAAGTTACATAGTTTGCTTCCGTAGGGTTGAAGTCTGAGTTGCAGTTGTGCCCTTCATGCAGGAAGCGTGCTGTTTACCCACGGAATGTCCCCACTGGGCAGCATCTCACCCTGAACATTTTCAATCCAAGGTTGCCTGAATCTACAGAACCCATGGATATGGAAGCTGACTGTAGCTAGTTTTACTATGCATCAGGTAAAACTCTCCACAGCTTTCTCTTTGCAATGATCCGCCTTTCTACCCATCAGGAGGACTGTTCTCAAGATCACTCACTGGTGCTACAAGTTAAATTCCAGCTACAGTTTTCAGGCCGTTCCCTGTGGCTCCTCTCTATGGCATCCACGCTGACCACTTGTACCTTTCGCCTTCCTAACAGAGCTCTTTCTTGATTTTTCTTCTACCTGTCCGGCTGTCCCTTCTCTGAGTCTTGTTCTTCTGTTCCTTTAAAAGCTCATCTTCATGAGGGCTTCAACTTGACCCTGTTCCCTTTTCTCACTGTGTACTCTCCCCACAAGATCTTACTTGCCATTTCAACTGTCACCTAGGCACTGGTACATCCAAAATCCAGATGGTTTCTTAACTTTTTCCGGCACTTCCACATTCAGCATCACTCAGGGCCTTCTATTTAACAATGACGACAATTATTATATTCTAATTGGTTTTTACTAACATGCAGCCCTTAGGCTGTGCAAAATACCATTCTACGTTCTAAATACAGTAGAACCTCCATAGCTGACCTCCTCCCTACACTGACCACCTCCTTAAGTTGAATTTTCATAGACTGGACATGCACCACACATACTCCATGGAAGTTCCTTCTATTGGCTACTTCCAAATGCTGACCAGTTTGTTATGGTCCCTGGAGTGGTCAATTTACAGGGGTCCTACTGTATCTATATCAAATCACTTAATCCTCATAATAGTCTTATGAGGTTTACACATTTTTATACCTCATTTTACAGAAGAAGAACATGAAGCACCTTCTGAAATGAAACTTCCTTTACCCATCCATCTCAAAACTTACCTCTTCCCACAATCACAACATACCCAGGAGCCCAGCTGAAGCTACAAAGGCTATTTCTGGGTGCTGGCTTTCTTATCTCCTCTGCCCCCCTCTTTTCCTGCCTTAAAATAAGCTGCCATTTCTCACCACGATTACTGAAACTACCACATCCTCAGGATCCTCTGGTCTCACCAGCTTCGAGGTCATCTTCCGTCTCTCCCAAACTCCAGCAAGACTGGATGGCTTCCCTCTGCCTTGCAGATGAAGTCAAGCCTTCCTAACAAGTAAGCCCTTCCTGACGGGCAGCCCCTCACTACCCACAGTTCTGCACTCTGAGCTCCTGCCATACCCACTATGTGGAGTACCCTACATCAGAACATCTTCCTATCTTTTTTTTTTTTGAGACAGAGCCTTAAGCTGTCCCCCTGGATAGAGTGCTGTGGCATCACAGCTCACAGCAACCTCCAACTCCCGGGCTCAAACAAGGCTCCTGCCTCAGCCTCCCAAGTAGCTGGGACCACAGGTGCACGCCACAAAGCCTGGCTATTTTTTTTTTTTTGGTTGCAGCCATTATTGTTGTTTGATGGGCCGGGGCTGGATTCAAACCCACCACCTTAGGTGGATGTGGCTGGAGCCTTAGTCACTTGAGTCACAAGTGCCAAGCCACATCTTCCTATCCTTATATTTGTCCATGGTATTCGCTCTCACCCAGAGTACTTGCTCTTCAAGTTGCAGCAAGGGACTAAGAGGACACCTCTCCTAGATACCTCCCCACCACCGCCCACTGCCCCTCCTGGAGGAAAGATGACAGGTGTATTCCCAAGTTGGTGTGTTAACGTGCCCTGCTGGTTCACTTTTGAATATTACCCACTGCACCAGGCAATACGTTTGGCCAGAGGCTGTATCTTTCCTCCCTCTGTGCTAATAATCACCATAGTAAACAAGGTCTGACAATTAAGTTTGTGAACTCATCCTAGAAAAAGTGCTATACCCCTCATTGTTGAGTATCACTGAGGTCACCAGGTGGCCAAAGGGAGTACCTTGAAGGGGATCTTAATGATACTGTTCAGCAACAAAGTATGTAGCACTTCTTTCTAGGATAAGTTCTCAAATTTAACTGTCCCATCTCATATATAACCTATTTTAAATTGCACACAAACTCCACAGACAACCTGTGTATATATCGCACACAGTTGGCACCTAGTAAATGTTCCCATCCTACATAAAGGGGAGTCCAAGCCTTATTCAAAGTATAAATTTAGGCTTGGCACCTGTAGCTCAGCAGCTAGGATGCCAGCCACATACACCAGAGCTGGCGGGTTCAAATCCAGCCCAGGCCTGCCAAACAACAATGACAACTATAACCAGGAAAAAAAAAAAAAGCCAGGCATTGTGGCAGGTACTTGTAGTCCCAGTTACTTGGGAGGCTGAGGCAAGAGAATCGCCTAAGCCCAAGAGTTGGAGGTTGCTGTGAGTGGTGACACCAAGGTACTCTACCCAGGGCAACAGCTTGAGACTTTGTCTCAAATAAAATAAATAAATAATTAAAGTACAAATTTCAACATTCTAAACTACAATCTGTATTCTCCCTTTACTTAAATAAAAACCTGAGTGTCACAGGCATGATGTGACTTGCTGGAGGTCACTTTTCCAATGAATGACAGATCTACAATTTGAAACTACTCCAAAATCCACCTGGTCACCTCAATGTTGCATATTCCCCACTGTTACTCTTTGTGTAATAAACCTTAAGGGTTAATTTCCAGTGGAGATACATACAGCCCTAGCTGATGACAACTGAATTCAACAGCAGGGGAATTCAACACTAACTCGGTAGGCCTATGTCCTCCCAGGACAGCTGAAGGTCATGTTCTGGCACTGAAGAACAATACAGAATTGGCCAAGAAAAGCAGGTGACTGTACACAGACTAACAAAGGTCTTCTGTCTCTGGCCAAGTTAAATTAAAGCTGGCTAAGTTAATCTCCCAGAGAAAACCTTCTTTTAAAAAGCCAATCAAACTTCTCATCAACTTATAAAAGCGAAATCTTCAGCAAATCACATATATTGCCTGCCAGAGCCAACATTCCACAACACTTTGAAACCCTGTGGTACGTGGAGCAGAAAGGCCAAGACTCAGATCAGGGGACCTGAGTTTGAACCCCGATTTTACGACTTACCAGCTGTGTGAGTTTTAAGTGACCTCACTAAAGGATTAAAATGTCATTAACAATTGCCCTGTTGTTACCGGGCAAACAACGATGTACGCAAAGCACCTGAGCGTTACTGGGAACATCAAATGGCAGGATGTCTGTCAGCACCGTACTGGTCCCCAGGCACCGGACAAACGAGTGCTTTCTCTTTAGATAATTCTCCTTCCTGTTATCATCTAACACACTATCGCAAATGCACGACCTCTGGAGTGGGGAGCTGTACTTGCCCCCTGTATCAAATGAAAAGCAAATACCTGCTTCCAAACAAGAACCTTTCTAAAAATGTAGTAAGCCTGGGCACCTCGGCTCACACCTATAATCCTAACACTCGGGAAGGTCAAGGTGGGTGGATTGTTTGAGCTCAGGAGTTTGAGACCAACCTGAGCAAGAGAGAGACCCATCTCTACTGAAAATAGAAAAACTAGATGGGTATCATGGTGGGCAACTGTAGTCCCAGCTACTCAGGAGGCTGAGTAAGGAGGACTGCTTGAGCCCAACAGTTGGAGGTTGCTGTGAACCACAGCACTCCAGCCAGGGTGCCAGAGTGAGACTCTGTCTCAAAAATAAAAAATATTCAGAGCTAGAGGCAGTGGCTCCTGCCTGTTATCCTAGCACTCTGGGAGGCCAGGGCAGGTGGATTGCCTGAGCTTACAGGTTCGAGATCAGCCTGAGCCAGAGTGAAACCTCTTCTTTAAAAATAGCTAGACATTGTGGTGGGCGCCTGTAGTCCCAGCTATTTGAGAGGCTGAGGCAAGAGAATCACTTAAGTCCAAGAGTTTGAGGTTGCTGTGAGGTATGATGCCGCAGCACTCTAGCGACAGTGACAAAGTGAGACTCTGTCTCAAAAAAATAAATAAATAAATAAATAATAAAGTAAAATAAAATAAGATTAAAAAGATTCAGATAAACCCCGACCCACAAACAGCCTAAGGAGTCAGTAAACTCAGGGCCTAATTTAGGCCAAGATCAACATTGAAAACTAACATCCCTCCAGAACTGTCAGTTCACAGCTTCAAGGCAGTTAGAGCCTTGGGGAACACTGAAGTGGTCGACACCCACACAAGTTTCAGTGAAACAGACAGCCAATGTCCATTCAGTTGTCTACAATAAGTACAAAGCCTGTGGCCTAGGACAGTCTGCCCAGGCCCTCCCCAGTCCTCCTTCAGAGGCACCTGTGCAAATGTGTAAGGGGTGATCATGGAAAAAGAATCAGTTCTTTACATCAGTTGGCAAGTTAAAAGTTCCAATGCTGAGAATGAGACAATCCTTCAGGACTTACAAAGGACTTCCTATCTAATTAGGAATCCTAACTGCCAGATTCCTAAGATGAAAAGTAGTGCAGTGTCTCCAAAATGAACTGGGATCCATTTCAACTGATGATTCTATGACCATACTTCCCTACCCACATCACGAGCCTGAAAAACAGGCTGGCATTCTGCACCTGAGAAAGACGTGCAAGGCCGAGACTGACTGCTTAAATCAGGAAAATCTTTAGTTGCAAAATGACACAACCCATTTATAAAAAAAAATTATGCAAGTTTTTCTGGTAGTTGGGGACTGATACATAATAAAAGTTTCCCATAAATCAAGGGAATAAATGTCTTGTTTTTATGTGTATCTATGTAATATAAACACCAAACTAGGATGCTGATTAAAGAAATTGTCTTTTAATTTAGCAAAATGTGAAATTATAAATGATATGATTTTTCTAAGTTTGACTACAAGAGAATGTAAAATAAAATCTGACTTTTGAAAGAATGGACAAGCTTGTTCAGTTAGAAGTTCCTGGTGTACCATTTTTTCCAGCAGAGAAGATATTTACTGTTAGAGTCAAACCTCTCTCAACCGACTCAGCTCAGGAAACAGCTTCGGTCTTTCCTAACCTTATCTCCTAAAGGATCTGACATTTCCTTTCAGGTGGCCGCTAAGGACCCTGAAAACATTTCTAAAACAGCCCTTCAGCACCTGCCATGCTATGGGTTACTGGAGCCATAAGCCCTCCAAAGGGCAGGCTGTCCATATCACACCTGCCTCCCTCCCCTGGCACCTAGCCCCAATTCCTGCCCCAGAGGACAAGCACCCAAGGACAGCCTGTGTGAGGCTGAAAATACACCTAAGTCCCCCCCTGCCAAAAATAGTGCTAAGGACGTGTACACAACGCCCAACAGTAGCTTGTCAAATGCTTTTAAAACCCAGAAAAATAGCTTCTTTATACTAGTCTCAAAAATACACACATGATGCAGGACACTATTACAAGAGGGTCTTTATCTAACACAAGCAATCATTGTAACCAGGTTCTTTGTACCCTCAATGAATCCCCAACAATCAAAAAACACACATATATATACATACACGTTTCAAGAAAGGAAATCTTTGGACCGCATACGAATTCTTTATACCGGAAAGAGAACTCTTAGGTACTCATAAATATCTGACAGGTGCTATGGAAAATATACTTTTTTTACTGCTTTTTCACTATACATAAATAAAACAGATTTTATGTGCCAGGGATTGATGTTTAGGCCTGCAAGAAACTGGACATCCACTAGCCCAATTCCTTCACTTTGGGATCTGAAGAATTACTTGCCCAAAAGCATATTAGCTGGCCAGAGGTAGAACTCAGAACAGGGCTCAGAGAAGAGGGCTCTATTTCCCAGAGCCAGCTCCTCAGCAACAGGAGAGCAGGAGTTATTTTTATGCTGATGTGTTTACCAGCTCTCCCTAGCATTTCTTAAATAGGGTCCAACAGAGTTTCAAATTTATAAAAAATTTTTTTCTGAAAAGCAAAATATAAGGTGATCCTATCAGGTATTTAACTTCCAATAACTATACTGAAATATTGAAATAACTTAGTTTTTTTTAGCATACCATTAACAGGAACATTGGTACTTGGTACAAAATACTGATATTGAGGGAAAATACTGATTTTCCCCAATATGCAACTAACTTTGTTATTTTCCCATCTATTAACCCTCTAATATGTTCTGACAAGACAAAGAATTAAGGCCTGAGACCAAATTTGCAAAGCTGGTTCTGCAGTACTATTGACTGATGAATAACTAATTGCTCCATTCTCTCCACCATTCCCTGAAACATAGCAAACAAATAAAAATAAAATTCACTTACCATAAACAGAGACTTATATTCAAAAGTCTCATTCATAATCTGTTCCAGTTCTTGTTTTTCGATAGGTGCCTCATTTTCTTTTTCACCCCTCTTTTCGGGGCTAATCCTGTCGATGTTGGAAACATAGGTCATTGCCAGACAGTCTGAACTTTCCATTTCAACAGGGAGTCTGCCTTTGATCTTCTGCAATAAGGCTGCGACGGACCCGGTCACGGACCCAGCCTCACATGGTGAATTAGAAGAACTTGCTTTGTCAACATCTTCCTGATTCGATTTCACGGCAGATGTTGTTCTTGGAACCTTGTGGGAAGCATTTTTAGAATGAGTTGTAACATGCACGGCCTGGCTAGTAATGAGTTTATTAAATTGCTGCTTATGCGTCTTGTTAATTAGGATTTCTGCTTTTGTGTCCGCAGTCAAGTCAGATCGTGGTGTTTTGTTCAAAACAGTCAACTGTTTTGAGGGAGATGCTGAGGAGGGTGAAGAGGCACTGGTCACCTGAGTTTTGGGTGGCACCTTTGACAATGCGGAGTCTCTGGCCTGCAACACTGGTCTGGACATAACTTTAGCTTTAACGTTCTTGAAGTCTGGTCTTGGGTAACTTATAATTTCAGTTTTCCTCACTTTGCAGCCTGTTAGGGTATTTGTTTTGGTTGTTGATTTTCCTAGACTAGGTTTAGACAGGTTGACAGGTGCTCCCTTCAAGTTGGGTGAGTTTTTAAGCTCTCGATTATTCCTCTCCACTTTTTTACCTTTCTCTGTCACTCGGATGGGTGAAACAGAAAAGTTTATATTTGTAGGTTCCAGGATTGGTGTTGACATACAAACCATCTCATTTGTGCTAACCACCTTATTCTTTTCATCCCAAGTCCATTCAAAAGACGAAACCATGTTTTGTCCTGGCGAGCCACTTAGTAGCAACTCTGAGGTACAATTCTGGATTCCCAAGTCCTTTTCATTGGAGGCAATTGGTGTGTCTTTAGTCACAGTAACTTTACGTTCTGGATTCAGCACTTGGGTTTTATTTTTATCAAAAGCTGGCACCACCAAAGGGCATTCATGATCAATAAGACAATTGGACACTGTCTCTCTTAGATTTTGGCCCATTTCCTTTTGCCCATATGAGCTCCGTGAATGCGTTGCACTATTTGGTTCTTCCGCAGATAAACAAAAGAACTCTTGTAATACGGGCCCACTGGGGACGTCCATGCCATCAGAAACTGCTGTTTGAGCTTGTATCTCTCTTTCTCCAACTAGTTGTTCCTGTGACCCATCTGTGCACTCACTGGTGACCTTTCCTGAAGAATATTGACACTGAATTTCAATATCTGGAACAAGAACCTCGGTTTGCATCACGACATCAGAACATGCTGGGTAAATTGTGTCTTGGGCCTCTGATGGAATGGCTTGAGGGTTTTCAAAGCTCTTTGGATCATACCTGGTTTCTCCTACATGGATCGTATCAGAATGGGAAGGCGTCCAAGTGGAAGAGGGTAAAGGAGATGTCTTTCCACTTCTCATACTGGTTGGTGGCTGACTTTCAGTAGCGTGCAAAGATGGTCTGTTTTCAGAGCCATGATGTGACTCGGTGCAGTTAACTTTACCCACTTCTACCTCAAATGTTTGGTTTAGCTCCAAGGCAGAAGAGAAGTCTGCACAGTTCGAATCATTATTAGGCTTCCACACAAAAGGCAGAGGTGGCTGAACACTCTGGTCCTGAGCTGTTTTTAGGGAATAACAACTGTTATGCAGATTTTCATGCTTCTCTGCATGTGCGACAAACACAGGAGACAGAGGCATGGGACCCTTATGCCTGTCTAACACCTGCTTTCCAATGAAAGCACTTGAAGACTTCTGGTGATCAAGCACTTCAGCGTACCGATGGCTTAAAGAAATATTTTCACCGTCATCCCCAGCAGGGTCAGTTTTATAACCGACCACCATGTCATCTGGGTTGGCAGAACTCCAATTCACATCGCTGGTTGAAGGGTTTAGTGTCAGGGGTGACTTGGGGCTGTATGCGTACGTATTGCCATTTGTATCACTGATAAATAAGCATTGCAATTCATCTCCTGTCTTATCACCTGAATTATCATCATTCATCCTGAATATTAACGTGAAGCCTCTCCCATTGTATTTCTGCTTCAATTCCTTTCAAAGGAGAGGGAAGAGAAAATGATCCACCATATAAGTCTTTCCGTACTGTTGAAAGTTTTACAGTCTAAGACGTTTGAAGACGAAATGATTTGGTGTTCCCTGGAAGAAATAAAATGTGCAACTCAAGTAAATATAAGAAGAACTAAGAGGTCACTCCTTGATTAATTTCAATCACGTTATTTTCACATTTAGAATCTACAACTTTTTTTTTAAATAAAGAAATTCATTCCAGTTCAGTACTCTCCTAATACTTATCCATGCCAGCAAAACCTTAACAGTCTAAATTCCAGAGTCTCCTCTCACCAGATGCAGGGAGAGCCACAGGTTTGGTTCATTCCGAGGCACACTTCCCTGGAGCTGTGGGCCTGTGGAGTCAAACCATCCAGGTACAGGCTTCCAATAAACAGTGGTGGAGAAGGCACAGCACTGACCCTGCCATTCCAAGAGGGAGGAGTAGGAAAGAAAATATGGGGAATAGGTTTTCAGCAAATCCAAAAGATGAATTCTTAGGTTCTGTTCCCAAATACTCTTCTATGACTTGATGCTTTATGTTCCAGAACACTCAGTAGGTTGCTGAGACTATAACAAGTGACCCTCTGGCCAAGGCTTGGCTGGGTGCATCCCACCCCACGAATCTACCACTTTTCTTGGGAAACACCTTTAGAAGAATAAACTCACACTATGATGTGGGTAAAGAAAGGACTAGCTAATCTACCACCCCCCTCCAAAGACATTTCTTTTAATTTAAGAGAATGGAGCAGAACAGAAGATGAGGTCACTGCTAGTTGTCCCTGTGGTTACTGCGCAATTGACACCCTTCCCTTCCTACTCCCTGGGACTTCCACTTGTCACAAGAGAGAAGGAGGCTAAATCTGGCAATAGTTTCTCCTTCTTGTTGGTTAACAGAGTGACCAGGCATCCTAATTTGCTTAATACAATCCCAACTCTTGTCTATTGTCCCAGCACAATTAGTAATGGTCCCTTACCTTTCATTCTCAGAAAGGACCATTACTATTTCCATGAAGAATGATTTCTGGACACACCATGAAGGTCTGGCAAAAATCTTCACTGGTCTTTAGCCTTTGCTTCATGCCCCCAGGAGGGGTGAAGTACTTGGATTTTGTAAATTTAGGAAGAATTCTGCCTAAGCTCAGAATGGCCCACTGCCTGCCTTTTTCTGGTTGGGAACAAGGTGCCACTGGGCCCAGGATGAGGGTGAGGTAGGGGACAGACTCACCAGAGGCACAAAGTTTAAGGCAAGATTAGTACCAGGGCCCTGCTGAGCCATTCTGGAGCGTGAGGCAAAGGGAAAGTCAGAAACTAATCCTGTCTTTAAATTCTTGAAATTTTGTGCATCATGGATTTTTTTGGTATTAATTCTGATTTTTAAAAAATAAGGCACTGACTCGGCACCTGTAGTTCAAGCAGCTAGGGCGCCAGCCACATGCACAGAGCTGGTGGGTTCAAATGCAGCCTGGGCCTGCCAAACAACAATGACAACTACAACCAAAAAATAGCCAGGCGTTGTAGCGGATGCTTGTAGTTCCAGCTACTTGGGAGGCTGAGGCAAGAGAATCGATTAAGCCCAAGAATTGGAGGTTGCTGTGAGCTGTAAGGCACTTACTCTACCAAGCGTGACACAGTCAGACTCTGTCTCAAAAAAATAATTAAAAAAAAACTTCTCATGCACAAAATTATTTTCAAAAAATTGTATTAAATTACCTTCAGCTTTTGTGTATAAGGTGCATATAAAACATAAATGCTAGGCCGGGTATAGTGGCTCACACCTGTAATCCTAGCACTCTGGGAGGCCAAGGTGGGTGGATTGCCGGAGCTCACGAATTCAAGACTAGCAGGAGCAAGAGGGAGACCCTGTCTCTAAAAAATAGCCAGGTATTGTGGTAGGCACCTGTAGTCCCAGATACTTAGGAGGCTGAGGCAAGAGAATCGCTTAAGCCCAAGAATTTGAGCTATGAGCTGTGAGGCCAAGCACTCTATAAGGGTGACAAAGTGAGACTCTGTCTTAGAAAGAAAAGAAACATAAATGCTGTTTTTAGACTTGCGTGTTAAGATCTCATTATAGAGGCAAATTTTCCAAAATCCAAAAATAATCCCAAATCCAAAACACTTCTGGCCCTAAGCATTTCAAATAAGGAATAATCAACCTATAGTGGAGAGGGAAATATTTTATACTGTTATTATAAATTGTGTCCCTCCCCTCAAAGATACACTAAAGTTCTAATCCATGGTGTCGATGAAAAAAAATAACCAACTTATTTGAAATTAGGGTCTTTGCAGAAGTAATCAAGTTAAGATGGTACATGTATCATTAAGGTGGTCCCTGATCCAATTTGACCAGTATGCTTATGAGAACAGGGAGTCTGGACAGGCACACAGAGAAAAACCAGCTTATGAAGTTGAAAGCTGACCCAAGCTAAAGAAGTGCAGGGCCACTAGGAGTTCAGAAGAGGCAAAGAAGGACCCCTCAAAGGATCAGAGGGTGCCATCCTGCTGACAACTCGATTTTGGACTTCTACCATGTTTCCCCGAAAATAAGACCTACCCAAAAAATAAGCCCTAGCAGGATTTCTATGCATTTGTTAAATATAAGCCCTACCCCAATAATAAGACTTAGTGATGGGCGTGGCTATGCAGCTATGCTATGCTGCATTTCCGGCATGGACAGGAAGACATCCCTTGAAAATAAGTCCTAGCGTGTCTTCCTGACAATAAATAAATATAAGACAGTGTCTTATTTTCAGGGAAACACGGTAACATTCCTAACTGTCAAAGATACATTTCTGTCACCTTAAGCCACCTCGTTTGTGGTATTTTGTTACGACAGCCCTGGGAAACTAATGAACACCCATGGTAGAAAACTAGTAAATTCTTCAAGTTTGTTTATGGATTAGTTGTCTAGAATTCAGAACATAGTTTCCAGTGTTAAAAATTATGCATAAGCAACTGTTAGGCTCCCTGATGGCCTACAGATTATATTTTAACCTATGATGTAGCACAATTATTGCCAAACAGTGCTGCTACTTCCCCCAGGACTAAGGTAACACAGTGCATAGGTCCCCACGTGTCATACACACATGGTCCTTTGCCATCGCCTTGGCCTCTCAATAATTTTTTTCTTCCTTTAAAGGGAGACGGTAGACACTCTTCTCCCAACCCCCCAAGGACAGTAACTCCTTGCTCTAGGCTGGCCAGAGGCGCGGTGTGTGCCATACCTTTGGGAGGCAAGACACAATTGTAAGAGGGACTTTACCTAACAAATGCAATCAGTGTAACCTGGTTTCTTGTACCCTCAATGAATCCCCAACAATAAAAATAAATAAATAAATGAATAATTATTAAGATAGTTTGCAAACTTAAGCCCCAGAGGGATAAAGACCTGGGAATATAAGCACTGGAAATAGATTTGGTTTTGCTGCCATAAATAACCCCACACTTCAGTGACATAATACAAAAGTCCAGGGGTAATTATAAGCCGGGAGCTCTGCCCAGACCCCTCATCAGCCAGGTATCCAGGCTGACTAAAGCTTCCACAGCCACCAAACCCTGGAAAAGTTTCTTGGAAAATTATGTGCTCAATCTTAAGGCGCCAAGAAAAAACTGGGGAACTTGAGCTGCAAGCAACATTTCTCTGAACTTAAAACCAGCAACTCTCAGCTTCTGCTCTAAACTATTCATGCTGGTTGGCTGTTGTAAGCTGCTCATTGTAAGGCAGCATTTAAATTTTTTCTGCTGCTAATTCCAGCCACTTTAGGTAATACCTAAGGAACATCAAGGTCTTGATGTCAAATCCTGCTCTAATTATATGCCAAAGCTAACTTATAAAATACATTCAGAGACTAAAGTGTGTGTCTCAGGAAAAAATACAATAATTTATTTTAACAAAGCTAAATACTTCAGTCACTGATTCTCAGAGTTAGAAGAGACCCTTACAAAATAAAAAATAATTTACAAAAAATGATTATGGACTCTCAACACCAAGGCTACATTAAAATCCCCTCTCAGAGTGAAATTAACCAAATCTACGCCCATTCCACTGAATGCATCGAGTTCTAGGCAGTTCCTCCCTTCCTCACCGACAAATTCCCTGTCCAAAGTCACAAAGCATACTACAGAATTGAGGATTCAAAGTCCAGCTGTAAGTGGCAAATGAAACTCAAATAATCGCAAAGAAAAAAGTTTAATCTGTTTCATGCAAAAATGTGCACAACTTGTCCACGATTAATGTACTCAGCTAACAAGGTCCCAGGCTTCACCATTCTCACTCCTCTTCCACACAGGGCCTCCACCTATGGCCCCAAATCACACCTTTTGCGTTCCACCAAAGAGGCATCAGGCACAGAAGTTACCTCCCTGTCACTACAATATTAACTACTGCTGTGGCCACACTTACCTAGGAGGTAAGTTAAGAAATAGATACTGGGGCTCAGGCACTCGCAGCTCTGTGGTTAGGGTGCCATCCACATACACCAAGGTTGGTGGGTTCAAACCCCACCTGGGCCTGCTAAAGAACAGGCAACTGCAACAAAAAAAAACAGCTGAGTGTGTGGCAGGCACCTGTAGTCTCAGCTACTTGGGAGGCTGAGGCAAGAGAATCTCTTAAACCCAAGACTTTGAGGTTGCTGTGAGCTGTGATACTATAGCACTCTACTGAGGTTAGTGTTTGTGGCTCAGTGAGTAGAGCGCCGGCCTCATATACCAAGGGTGGCGGGTTTGAACCCAGCCCCAGCCAAACTGCAACAAAAAAATAGCTGGGCGTTGTGGCAGGAGCCTGTAGTCCCAGCTACTCGGGAGGCTGAGGCAAGAGAATTGCCTAAGCCCAGGAGCTGGAGGTTGCTGTGAGCTGTGATGCCATAGTACTCTACAGAGGGTGACAAAGTGAGACTCTGTCTCTTTAAAAAAAAAAAAAAAAAAAAAAACAACTAAAAAAATAGATACCTGCCTGGAGCAGTGGCTCACACCTGTAATCCTAGCACTCTGGAAGGCCAAGGTGGGTGAACTCCTTGAGCTCAGGAGTTCAAGATCAGCCTCAGTAAGAGTGAGACTGCGTCTCTAACAAATAGCCAAGTGTGGCTGGGCATGGTGGCTCACACTTGTAATCCCAGCAATTGGGAAGCCGAGGTGGGTGGATTGCCTGAGCTCACAGGTTTGAGACCAACCTGAGCCAGAGCAAGACCTCATCTCTAAAAGTAGCCAGGTATTGTGGCAGGCACCTGTCATGCCAGGTACTTGGGAGGCTGAGGCAAGAGAATCACTTAAGCCCAAGAGTTTGAGGTTGCTGTGAGCAGTGATGCCATAGCACTCTACCCAGGTATACAAAGCTAGATGATATCTCAAAAACAAAACAAAACAAAACAAAACAAAACCGGGCCGCCAAACAAGAATGATGGCTGCAACCAAATAAAAAAAAAATAGCCAGGCATTGTGGCGGGAGCCTGTGGTCCCACCTACTTGGGAGGTGGAGGCAGGAGACTCACTTGAGCCCAGGAGTTGGAGGTTGCTGTGAGCTGTGATGCCACAGCACTCTACCCAGGGGGACAGCTTGAGGCTCTGTCTCAAAAAAAAAAAAAAATAGCCAGGTGTTGTGGTGGGCACCTGTAATTCCAGGGACTTGGGAGGCTGAGGCAAGAGAATTGCTTGAGCCCAAGAGTTTGAGGTTGCTGCAAGCTATGGTGCCATAGCACTCTACCCAGGGCAACTGAGATTCTGTCTCCAAAAAAAAATAGATACAAAGAATACGGGCTTCCTATACCCAGAAAATACTATAACCACAGAAGTAAAGAAAAAATGGAGACTGAGGGACAGATAGCCATCTCTGGCACACTTACCACAGACTCAAAGCTCCTTTCCATAAAACACTGAGAAGGGGTTTATACTTATACCTCCATGATTATCTACTTACATTTTTTTTTTTTTTTTAGAGACAGAATCTCAGTTGCCCTGGGTAGAGTGCCAAGGAGTCACAGCTCACAGCAACCTCAAATTCTTGGGCTCAAGCAATTCTCTTACCTCAGTCTCCCAAGTAGCTGGGACTATAGGTGCCTGCCACAATACCCAGCTTTTTTTTTTTTTTTTTTAAGAGATGGGTCTCGCTCTTGCTCAGGCTGGTCTTGAACCTGTGACCTCAGGCAATCCACCCAACATGGCCTCTCAAGTGTTGGGATTACAGGCATAGGCCACTACGTCTGGCCCAGTCTACTTACATTTTAATAAGAGGTCTTCTAGAAACCAGGATGCCTTAAATTCAGACTTATTCTGAAGGCATTTTCCAGAATCATAGACAAAATCTTCAAGAAAGATGGTCCTTTCATTGTCCTTATGATGCTCTGGTGATGGTCTTGGAGACCCTACGGAAAACTCAAGGATCACTTTGAACCATTCTAATGCAACAAATTAAATTTCTTTTCACAAAGATGATCCACCAAGTTGATATTCAGTCTGGTATTGCTTTTCAATGAATATAAGGAATCCTGACATCTACCATGCTTTGGACACTGGGCATCGTTAGGGGTTGGGGCTGGTAGTCTGGATCAGGAATAATGAACGGATTGCCTAATAATGCAAAAGAGGTCAACATAATGCAACAGAAGTAATATGCAGATCACAGCTCTGGGCATGTTAGCCTAGGGAAGTTCAGGGGTAAATACGTAGGGCTCTGTCAAGTACAAACTAGGCAGACAGGCCATGCAACCAGAGAGACTCACACAGCCTCCCAAGAGTGAAGGGAAACAGTCAGAGGCTCCAAACTGGGGTTGGGGGAGACGGACAGGGAGCAGCCTGCCAGCTCAGGAGTTTGGATTCCATTCTGTGAGCAGTGAGCGTCTACAACAGATGCTAACACTTTGGCCTCACCCCAGTACGGAAGGTGTCCCAGTGAGGAGACACTGCCAGCAGGAGATTGTTGGGACAGATCTGAACTAACTCAGTGGCTGTGAGCGAAGCAGGAGATTTTTGGGACAGATGTGAACTAACTCAGTGGCTGTGAGCGGCGCAGGAGAGAAGGAGAAGCCAGACAGCTCACCACCATGTCATCCAGGCCTGGCAGCAGAGACAGTGACACTCAGTAAGTGCCCAGTCAACGTCTGTTGAACTAAACATGGTTTAAAAAGACTGTTTCTCTTACATTAATATTTAAAGAAGGTTGCTGCATCAGATAGTATAACAGAGCTGCATAAATAATGTATCACACGCTAGGTAGACACAAAAAAGATTTAAGCTTTTAGTATCAACTGGGGGAGTTTTGTAACCTTCTTTTTTTTTCTTTAAATAAAGAAATATATGAGTTTAGAGAATTAATTCTGGATGCAATAGGGGCTCAAAAGGTTCTGTCATGTTTCTCATTCCGAACGACAAATAAAAGAGAGGTTCAAAAAACAAATAAAAGATCTGGGTTAAAATGAATAATTTATTAGGCATAGAGACAGATACTGTTAGAATTTAGAATTATCCAAGGTAAAGTGCTTTCTTTCTAAAACACAGACTTTTTTTTTTTTTAGAGACAGAGTCTCACTCTGTCGCATATACATTTTACAAACTTAAGAATTTTTTAAGAGAGAGAAAATCCTATTCAACAAAGAAAGATATCAGAGAACTATGTCTATGCCATGATAAAAAAAATAAAAGAAGAAAAACCTACTTCAACAAAAATATATCACCCCCTTTCCTTACCTACCCTTAAAACCACATAATGAGGCTTATATTTAAAGTATCTTTAAAGAGCCTACATGTCACTAATTAGAATATTTTATAAGAATAATCAAATATTACCAACGGTCTTATAAGCATATAGAAACTGCCCCCATCCCCCAAATAAAAGCCACTGGGCGGCGCCTGTGGCTCAAAGGAGTAGGGTACCGGCTCCATATGCTGGAGGTGGCAGATTCAAACCCAGCCCTGGCCAAAAACTGCCAAAAAAAAAAAAAATAATAATAATAAATAAAAGCCATTACTAGACCACCAGCAGAGAACAAAGGACTGTTAGACACAGCATTCCAAACTCATCTAAAGCTGATAAACACACACAAGAAAAATGAAAGAAACATCTAAAGGTATCATTTTTACATTAATAAAGGTTCAACCAACTATTGTGTTTAAACACAATGACTAAAGTTTCCTTTTTAGCCTATGCTTATAATTTAAATCAGCACGGGTATCAGATACTGACTTAGTCTGTTAATACTACAGTCTGGTCAGTCAGTCTTAGATAATCAGAGGAGGCAATTAAAAGCCTTTGGGGGGGAGGCAGTTAGTGGGAGTAGTGAGGCCCCTGCTGATTATAAAGGACACCGCCACAACTAAAGACAACTAGCTAAAGCCTGCTGCAAGTAGAATGATTCAAAGCCAATTATCTGACCTACTGAGGGTCAGTAATGCTGATTCCTGCAGTCATCCCAGAAATATGCCTTCATTCCAAAAGTTTCTGGCTCAAGGACTTCCTAAAATCGCCAATCCAGCATGTGGAAGACCCCACACATTCACAAACTCTTAAAACTGCATTCCTGGAAGCTTAGTCAGTAATCTCACAAAGTGAAAGGGCTTAACATTTTCCTTCTACAAATAGCCATACTTCAAGGCCTCCAATATTCCTTAAACATATCACAAAAGGCAGTATAAATAATAGAGCTGTCTTCCCCCACGGCTCATCTCTTACTGCTAAGATAGGAGGAAAGTCAAATTGCAAAATTTAAAACGCTGGGAGAATGTTAAATTATAAACACTGAAGGAGTTTCAGCTTTCCATTCCTCCCTCCCTTACCCTTGGTAGAGACAGAATACACTATAACCAAAATTACAATGCAAAGTTGGCAAATAATCAAGGTTCTAGCCACTCTGGATGACATAGTATATTTAAGTGCGCAGTACATAACAATTTTCTACCACACTCCATGTAATTGTCAATGTATCTATCTTAAAGTATGAGAAATCAATATAGTATGATCAATATTACAAAATGTCAGAAGATTTTAAAAGCAGTTTATTTTTTAAAAATCACTTTTAAAACTTAACATTAGTGTTTTTTGCTTAATTTCAATGGCCCAAATCAACTAGAACAAGCTAACTTACCTACATTCCTCGGAATAGCAAGCTTGACCCAGAGTAGATTCGCTCGCCCAAGACTGCTAAGAAAGGAGGCAAGAGATGTCTCATTCATGTTATCTGCAGCCCCCGTAAAAATGCTTTCAGTTGCACCTAAGAGACTGTTTTTCATACAGCAATGCAGAAACTTCAACCAGCCTAAAAGGAATCCAAACACCAGACCATATAATGACTCCTCCCTGGAGACCACAGTTATTCAAAGACCAGCTCAGCCTTGCAGCGGTAATGGAGCTGAGTGTAATGACTTATTTTCCCCCCAAACTAAAAAATTTTCCTTGGACTCTTTGCCAGCAAAACAGCACAGACTTTTCTGAGGCTGTGTAGGCAGAACTCTTGTATCCAGATGTTTCTTGGTTATACTGTACCTCACTTAGAGTAAAACTCAAAACAAAAAAAGCCAGACCATCTCTGACAACAGGAGGGACTTTCGCTTGTCAGATTAAATAGCATTCACGGCAGCTGAGTGATTGCTTCTCAATTAAGAAACCAGAATATTTCAGGGACTTGAATAATAAAAAAGGAAAAATAATCCAGGCACGGTGGCTCACACCTGTAATCCTATCACTCTGGGGGGTGGAGGCAGGTGGACTGCTTGAGTTCACAAGTTCAAAACCAGCCTGAGCCAGAGTGAGACCCCCTCTAAAAACAGCCAGGTATTGTGGTGGGCGCCTATAATCCCAGCTACTTGGGAGGCTGAGGCAAGAGAATTGCTTGAGCTCAAGAGTTTGAGGTTGCCGTGATCTGTGATGCCACAGCGCTCTACAGAGGGTGACAAAGTGAGACTCTGTCTTTAAAAAAAAAAAAAGGAAAAACATTCTAAAGGAAAGACATTAAAGATGCCTCTATATCACCACTGGATTTAAGATACGATCTTCACTCATTTGTCTATAATTTTAATTATCATTTCCTATACCAATAAAATTGTGGAGGTTTCATATGCTCTAAACTTAGGAAGTTCTCAGTACTAAAAAATTCTCAAACAAAGTAATGCATGTAAGGGAAAGTTTATGTATGTACTATACCATTAGCAATGGTTCACCATCTCAGGTCAGTGATGGTGGTGGAGGGGGCAGGGCACAGGGTTCTTTCATATTATAAATTTGCTTTACGCAGTTCTAGTACTTAAACATCTATACTTTTAAAATTTTATTTAAATATAAAAATGGTAAAAATATATTTATGCTCCAGGGGAATAAAACATTCTTTATAGGTTGCACATTCGGATCCACATTTTTTTTCATAGAAACGGAAATGAAAAGATCTGGAAATGTTTTACTCAGACCCTTGGGCCACTGGTTTTGCTTTTTGCAATGTGAATGACAAGCGTCACTAAAGTTGTTACTTTCCAAAACAGTGTATGTAATCCCTAAATAAATGCCTTTCAAATTTCAACAGCAGATTGTCTGATTCAGACACCTAAAATACACACCAAGAAGTCTTGCAAGCAGACAGTCTACCCATGGGAGGAAAAACCCGCAATACATAGGCTTCTCTTTTTTTTTTTTTTTTTTTTAAAGACAGAGTCTTACTTTGTCACAATCCATAGAGTGCTGTGGCATCACAGCTCACAGCAACCTCCAACTCCTGGGCTTAGGCGATTCTCTGGCCTCAGCCACCCAAGTAGCTGGGGCTCCCAAGTAGCTGCGACAACACCCGGTTATTTTTTGTTGCAGTTTGGCTAGGGCAGGGCTCGAACCTGCCACCCTCAGTATATGGGGCCGGCACCCTACTCAATGAGCCACAGGCACCACCCTAGATGGGCTTCTATTGAAATAAAATACTACTTTTACTAACAAAAATAATTTTACTGTTTTCCTATAAACAGGGCCCATTTATAAAAGAGAGATTGACTACCACTGATGAATCATCTTTCAGGGTTTAGAGTTCACTTAATCTAAGCTGCTTATTCCATATGTGAGAAAACTGAGGTCTAGAGAAAATAAATTATGATTTTTAGCAGTGCCTCCATTACATAACACTAGGACTCACCCTTTCACCATATTCAATGAAACAGAAACCCCAGGGCTACTGTTCACATTAAAGATGGTGGCTCCTAGGACTGTATAGTGTAGCAGTCCTGATGACTTTCAAGTTCATGCAATTATTTACAGGCAGAACCAGAATTAGAATTATCTCCCACTTCTTCTTTGGCTAACCATCATCTTGCCTCATAAAAGCAAGAAAGCAAGCAAAATTTGGCCAGATCTGATGGCTCACAGCTGTAAGCCAAACACTTTGGGAGGCTGAGGATGGGAGGATTACTGGAGGCCAGAATTTGAGACCAGCCTGAGAAATATAGCAATACAGATCCCATCTCTACAAAAAATAGAAAAGTTGGCTGGGTACCCATAGCTCAGTGGTTAGGGCACCGGCCACATGCTCTGGGGCTAGCAAGTTAGAACCTGGCCTGGGTCTACTTAGCAAACATTGACAACTGCAACAAAAAATAGCCACGCACTGGGGCAGACACCAGTAGTCCCAGCTACTGGGGAGGCTAAGGCAAGGGAATTGCTTGAGCCCAAGAGTTTGAGGTTGCTGTGAGCTATAACACCACAGCACTCTACCCAGGGTGACAGAATAAGATTCTGTCTCAAAAAATAAACATAAAAAAATAAAAAAAATTAGTCAGGTAAGGTGGCGTGCACTAGCTACTCGGGAGACTGAAGCAATAGGATCCCTTGAGCCCTAGAGTTTGGGGGGCAGTGAGCTGTGATGATGCCATGGCACTCCAGCCCAAGGGAAAGCAGGAGACCCTTCTCCTTTGAGGGGAAGCAAAATTTAAGGGTGCTTTAGGGATAAAACCCTAATTTTTATCTTCTTTAACTCTGTGCATTTAATCTCCTTAGGTAAAATGGCACCAATGCCAGACTAATCCTGCATAAAGTACATTACAGATATTAAAAGGAATGCCTAAAAAAACTAGAGACCAGAGTCTTGGACCAAAAAAACTAAAAAAATTACAGGATGTCCTACACCAATGTAATGTATTCAATAGTTTGGTCCCAAACCCACATGTGTAAACAAGAGTAAATATGTTACTCGTATTACCCAAACTTGAATCCTTCATTGTTTGCAAGATCCCAGACTATATCTCAGAGGATTTAAATTATTCATAATTATGACTGTCATATCACATCTGCTAAAACCTAATGATCTGGTCCTGCTTCCCATTACAGGAGACCAGCTTCATTTGTATTGATGTCATAGCAAGGAAGCACTCTTGGCTACAATCGCTGATGCCAATTAAGATAAGAAACCAGGACATTCAGTGCTCTACTCGGTTGCAAAGCAGATTAAATTTTCCTGCAAAGAGAAAGTGGGCCAAAAATTAGACACAATATGCTCGACTTTTTTATAACCCAGCATCACTCAATGATCAAGACGACTTGGGCACTAAGTAAAAACATTTCAGGTCATTATTCTGTAAATACCCAGAGTATTTCTTCTAATTTCTGAAACTACACAACTACCTATGATTCAACACAAAGAACCACATGAGATAAAAGATAGGGAGGAAAAGAAAATGGACAGAAGGTGCCTTTGAAAAAGTACTGGTATGGGAATTAGTTGAAGATTATGTAATAAAGGCTCGGTGCTAGGGCGTCAGCCACGTACACCGGAGCTGAAGGGTTCGAATCCAGCCCTGGCCTACCAAACAGCAATGACAACTACAACCAAAAAATAAAATAGCTGGGCATTGTGGCAGGTGCCTGTAGTTCCAGCTACTTGGGAGCCTGAGGCAAGAGAATTGCTTAAGCCCAAGAGTCTGAGGTTGCTGTGAGCTGTGAGGCCACAGCACTCTACCAAGGATGACAGCTTGAGACTGTGTCTCCCCCCCCCAAAAAAATTATGTAATAAAGCTAAGTAATTCAGATTAGAGAATCAAAGGAGATTAACTCCATAAAGATACATTCAGAAGAACTATCTACTGTAAACTAAATTATCTTGCTAGTTCCCTAACTCTGTGCAATAGACATCCATGCACAATTTTCCCCACTTTTTGCCTAGTTGGTTTAAAAAGCTAACTGAGCAGCTAGTATTTCTCTTTACTCCTGGCATGCCAGTGAGGGACCAAAAGAGAAAAGGTGTACAGTAAAATACAAAGACCAAGAATCAGAGTCCAAGAAAAAAAGAAAAGGTAACATAGTAAACATCACTAGAAAGGGACATCTTTGAACCAAATTTTAAAATGTTTTGCAACGCCTTCGATCACCATAGCCAAGTGCACAGGTGGGGAAAGTCTTCAAGAGCCATGATAGTCGTGCAGTCTTCAGAGATGGCCTAGAGAGATGCTCTAGGGTACTTCAGCCAAGTCAGAAAGCCCAGTGTCTGCATGGGTGGCACCTTCAAACATAAAGATAAACTTAGGGTACTATCTCCCTTTGATGTATGTCTTAGTCTGCTTTCTGTTGCTACAATGGAAATAACACAGAATGGGTCATTTACAAACAGAAGTTGATGTTGCTCACGGCTCTGCAGGCTGGGAAGCTGAAGAGCATGACGCTGGCATCTGGTGAAGGCCTTCTGGCTGCATCCTAGCATGGTGCTGGCCATCATGTATGAGGGGGCAAAAGTGTGCCCCAGCTCAGGTCTCTCTTCTCGTTTTATAAATCACCAGTCCCAGACGGAGGGGTGGGGGGCAGGCACCCTGATGACCTTATCTAATCTTCATTACCTCCTGAAGTCCTGACCTCCAGTCAACACATGAATTTGGGGATTACGTTTCCCGACACAAGAAATTTGGGGGACACATTCAAACCACAGCAACATAGAATCAAAACCCAGCAGGGTGGCTCAGCGCCTGTGGCTCAAGTGGCTAAGGCGCCAGCCACATACACCTAAGGTGGTGGGTTCGAATTAGCCTGGGCCCGCCAAACAACAATGACAGCTGCAACCAAAAAGTAGCCAGGCGTTGTGGCAGGCGCCTGTAGTCCCAGCTACGTGGGAGGCAGAGGCAGGAGACTCACTTGAGCCCAGGAGTTGGAGGTTGCTGTGAGCTGTGATGCTACAGCACTCTATTCAG